ACACCACACAGAGGATTCTGGAAATGCCGGGTTTATTATATTTGTCTGCCCAGAAAGCCTACTGAGTAAATGACACATGCCTTAACTTGAGAAGTTCTCCATTTATTTCCAACCTGCTCACCCACCACCAGTCACCTCAGAAACTCTTGGCTCAAGTCAAATTTGACTATGTTCTAATTAGGATTAAGTTCAATTGCCAGTAACAGTATAACCCAATATAACAGTGACTTAAACTGCACAGAAGCTGATTTCTCTTTCATTTCAAAGACCAAGTACAGGCAGCCCAGGACAGGAATGTTGGCTCTGTTCCAGCATGAGCCCAGAGACCCAGGCTCCCTCTATCTTGTTGCTCTACTGTGTGTGACTTCCATTCCCAAGATCACCATTTCAGAACCAGCCATCGAATCCACAGTTCAGCCAGAAAAATGGAGGGAAGAGTGAAGGACACAGTTATTCCCTTTAAGGACATTTTCTGGAAGTTATATGAATGGCTTCCACTTCAATCTCATTGGTCAAAATTTAGTCACATGACCATACCCAAATGCAAAGGGGGCTGGGAATTTTTTATTTTATTTATTTGTTTTTACTGTGGGGGTCATATTCATGCCTGGCTAAGATTTGGGGTTTTAGTAATAAAGCAAGAAGGTGAGAAAAGCTATTGGGGACAACTAGTGATCCTTGTTACAGCCAAACCTTTCTTTGTTCTCATATGGCATGGATGTTTTCATCAGTATGTTATGGTGCATACCGGCCTCCTGACATATTTTCCTACTTATCTAAGTCTGGCCTGTCAGAGAAACATTCTGACAGTGAGTAATGAGCATTGACCTGGGGGTTGCACAGAACCAGGTTCAAATCCTGGTTTTACCACCTTCACTTGCTTTGTAAGACCTTGAACTCAGTGTCTCTGGACCTCCCTTTTCTCCTCTGTCAAAGGAGACAACATAACTCATGTTGGTTATTAATAGCACAGTGTCGGGCAGAACTTATGTGCTGGAGAGGTACAGGTTTCTTATCTTATCAGCAATCATGAAAATGACTCCATTCTCTGTAAAGGCTCAACTCGAGTCCTTTTCCCTTCACAGAGAATTTCCTATCCGTTTCAGATTAGGACAACCATTCCAGGCTTTGAACTCTTACAATAATACAAATACATTTGAGACACTGTTGTGAAAATTAACACAGGATGCTTACAACGTCTTTTTCTCTTTTTAATTTCGAACCCTCAGAAAAGTTGAAAGAAATGGAGATTTGGCTTTTCTTAAATTGTTGCCTTAAGTGGTCATGTCTTCACGTACCGCATGCCCTGTTTTCTGAACTAGAGAAAATCTCTCTCGAAGGTAACGACCGTGTATGAAACAGGAAGTTTCCTTTGTTTTTGATTCTTTGTGTGGTGTTTTTTTTATCCTCGAGTGCCTCCAATGCTGCTTAATAAAGTGTGCATTTCACCTCTTCCTGTCTTCTCCTGTCTTTGATGACTTTCACGGATGTCCAAACAGCTGCAGGGAAGGAGCTGTGTGCAGGATCAGATGTTTAGCACCTGTCAGAATTGTTCATTATTGCGTTGAGGTGCGGTCTCCGGGCGGCTGTGTCTTTCTCTCACTTCTTCTTTGCACATATCACAACTCCCAGTAGCATTCCTAAATCAAAAACACAGTTGCTAAGTGAGCGAGTGAGTGAATGACGGGATGAACGGATGACTATAGAAATCCAACTTCGAGGATTGGGGAGTGACTCAGATGGTCAGCAAAAGAGCACAGACTTGGTCTGACATGAACCAAGGTCCCTAAATGACATCCTGCAAATAGCAAGCTCACCCAGAGGCAACGATTGGTCCTGAAGATGTGTTCTAGGTGTCTCTCCACTATCCTTAGGGAAGTATAAATGAACTCATTTCAATGCCAATCCCAACCCCCCTTTAAAATAAAGAGTTGTGTTCCTGAGATATAATATATACTCCCAGGCTCTGTGGAAGGCTGATTGGCTGTATTGGTTGTCTTTCTTTCATGGACACTGCAGGGAGCTGGGATGGCCTCCCAAAGGCAGTCAGAGGGAGCCGATCTCCTTCAGCATCGGGCCCCCGTGACATGGTTGTGGTCCCATCTACTTTGCAGTAGGATCAGAAGGACTATCTTAGAATCTGGAGAAAAACCACTCCCAGTCGCATACTTGTGAATGACAGATGATGAAGCTGTGCGTGTTGGGTGCATAAATGATCTTCACTCTTCAAAACACTTCCAAGGCAGGTATTGTTATTCCATTTTACCAATGTATTCACCCACAGTCAGTGGGGATCTCACATGATCACCCACGCGGCTCCCAAGGGGCGAAGGTGAGGTTTAGACTCAGGGTTGTTTAGCCCAAAAGTATTGTGTGTGTTTAAAATTCCACTATGGCCCTGACCGGTTTGGCTCAGTGGATAGAGCGTCAGCCTGTGGACTCAAGGGTCCCAGGTTCGATTCCGGCCAAGGGCATGTACCTTGGTTGCGGGCACATCCCCAGTGGGGAGTGTGCAGGAGGCAGCTGATCGATGTTTCTCTCTCATCGATGTTTCTAACTCTCTGTCTCTCTCTCTTCCTCTCTGTAAAAAATCAATAAAATATTTAAAAAAAAAAAAATTCCACTATGGAAGCCTCTGCATGAATATTTCATTAATAAAGAGCATATTTCAGAAAACATAGAAATAAGCAAGTTTACTCTAGCAGGACTTTCTCAGCCCATTTCTCCTTCTTCCTCCTCCCACCACACATCTAGAAAAATCAACTCGACGCTAGATGTCAAGGTCAACTCTTATTGCTTGTTCTTCATCCAGACTCTTGAAGGCAAGAATTCACATAGTCACTTTTTATTTTATTTTATTAATTTATTTTTTTTGTTGTTCATCCTCACCCAAGGATATTTTTCCATTGATTTTTAGAGAGAGTGGAAGGGAGAGGGAGAAACAGAGAAAAACATCGATGTGAGAGAGACACATCGATTGGTTGCCTCCTGCACGCATCCCAGCCAGAGCCAGGGAACCTGCAATCAAGGTACGTGTTCTTGACCAGAATCAAACCCACGACCCTGCAGTCTGAGGGCCGATGCTCTATCCACTGAGCCAAACCGGGTAGGGCACTTTTTATTTATTTTAAAATTATTTATACTTTATGAAATGGCCTCTTCTCAAAATCACCGCTTGGCCCGAGATGATGGTCCCAAGGACCGTGCCAGAGCCCAGCTTGCCCACGAGAAAGCTGCCTCTCACCTGGCCCGAAGCACCTGCGTCCTCTCCCCTCTCCTCCTGGCACCTACTCTGTATACTTTACAGCCAGTAATAGTCATGTGCACCTATGACACACACACATCATAAACCGAACAGATAAAGCGCGTTATTACGCCTTTGTCTCACTCACCAAAATAGCGTGGCGGCTGAACAAAGGCTTTGAGCAGAGAGATTGCAGAGTGTGTTGCCTTCCTCTCTCTTTCCCTCCCCCTGTCCACCGCCCTCCCCCCCATCCCTCCTTCCCTGGCTCAGGGCACTCCACATCCCGGCCACAAAGCGCCACATTCCTCCCCAGGTTTAATCTCTGCTACATTCCGGCCTGCGGGTTATTAAGAGGAGATTGTGAAGGGCAGTGATGAGGACTAGCTGGAGACTTTTCCCGGATAAAGGGTCCTTGCCCAGGATTATCTTTATTTCATTGGCAGTAATCCCACCGCCCCCTCAGCCGGTTTCGCCTTTCCTGGGGTGAAGGCAGGTGCAGAGGGAGGGCTCTGCTGTGATTGGCAGGGCTGCGTAGGGCTGACCTGAAGGTGCACAGCCAGGATTGGAGCCTGGGGAGGGGTCCAGGAGCTCCGTGGGTGGTGGAATTTGAAGTAGTCCTTGATGAGGCAGCCTGGCTTAGTGGGAAGGTCTCTAATGCTTTTCAAAATGGCAAATGAGGCCCAACCCCTTGGTTGACTTTGAGTTTGACCTTCACAACAGTCCCCGTGCGCTTACGGGCAATGCCCTTTGGTTCCAGCCCTTTGCATTGTGTTCTGCGCTCGCCACCTCCAATTCTGCCTCAAAGACACATGCATTTCTTTCACTTCTCACTTCCCTCTTCCAGTTATTTCATTTCCACTGATGCTCAAATAGGTAAAGGCAGCAGCGCATATGCAAATTTAGGTTTTAAAGGATCAAGTGTTATTTGTCCTTTTTGCTAATGGGAAAGATGGAAGGCCGCTCTTCAGCAAGGATTTTAGATGCCGATGGCAGGAGATTTCTCCCCCGTGGACAGGGGGTAGTGGTAGCTGCTTATTGGTAGTAGCCTTGGCATCCGTTGGTGAGCACATGTGAGCAGGCAACGGATGGGGCTTCTGGTGGCTGATGAGGAGGGTGAGGATGTGTTCAGGGGCTGGGATCACAGACCACCTTGCTGGAATGGCCACTAAGAGCAAATAGGGTAATAGTTTCGGTCAGGATGACCTGGGAACTTATTAAGTCAGCATTCTGAGCACCTGCTTGTTTTAGTTCAGTTTTGTTCTGTTTAGAACAAACACTGGTGGCCTCGTGTGAGAAATCCCTGGGTAGATCAGAGGAGGGAGTGGACAGTGGCTGGGTGATTCGACCACAAGGGATAAGGCCTCCTCTATGTTGGTAGCCAACAGAAAGGGAGAGGGAAGGATAGACCAAAGAGACGTTTCAAAGAGGGAAGGACACATCTTAGTTCCGTACTGCGCCTGGGAAGTGGCAACGGGAGGGGGAAATTCCATGCTTCCAAAACCAAGGGCCCGAGAGAATGAAAATGAGGGGGAGGGGGAGGGGAAGGGTAGACAATGATTTTATTGATTGAAATAGAGATTTCGGGAGGGGGAGAGGGTGTGAGAGAAGAGACTCTGGGTATATTATGATTCAGAGGAAATTTTAGAGACGAATGAGAATACCCAGCAGGAATCTGGGTTATGCGGGATGAAACTTGGATAGAAATTTAGAACTCGACTTGTAAACATGGCAACCATCTGTCCACAGGTCGCAATTAGAGCTCTGAGAATGAATGAGCTTTTGCAGGGCTGGAGAGAAGAGAAATCACATTACTGAACAGTACTCTGCACCTAAGACACAAGCAATTCACCTCTAAAGGCAACGGAGAGAAAACAAACACATCAGCCTCGACGTGCTCCTGTGGTTAATCTGCACGGTGAGTCCAATGGGAGAGAACAGGGCAGTGTCCGCATCAACTCCAGGGCGTTCCCGTGGCCACAGAGGTCAAACGGTACCAAGTGGCCTTGAACGAGGCCACTGGAGGCCTGTTTCCTCTTGAGGCAGGGACCAGGGTTGAATGTCCAACCTCCCCCTCAATGCAGGACGCCTGGCCCATAAGAGTTCCTCTTTGCTGTCTGTCCTAGAAACACGCCATCCTTTCTGCCCCTTCTCTGAGACTCCTGGGTTTGCAACCTTCACTCTGACGTGTTGTCGGATGCCTTTAACTCCTGGCAGGTGTACGTAGAACCGTTTTTCCTCCTCTAAGCTACACACTTATTCCAGCCCGTGTTTATATTCCCGTGGAAGGGGATCCAAAGTAGGCGTCCAAAGGTGCTCCATGTCCAGAGACTAATGATTTCATTTCTCTTCTCTGTATAAAGGAGGTGGGACTAGATCTCCTGAGTCTGTCCGTCACATTCCCTTTCACCGTGCTGCTCTGTTATTTATTTTTTCACGTCTGATTTCTCTCTGCAGCTCCCACACCCATTATCCATACTGAGTACTCAATACATGTTTGTTGAATGAGTAATTGGGGGGGGAGGTTGGGGTGCAAAGGACAGAGTACAGTAGAATATGGGAAAGAAATATGGGATTTACTCCTAAATCCTGACTACCTCCTCTCTTCTCTTTTCCCTCAGGGTTTCTCAAAATCTGTTCTTCAAAATTCTGTGGGATCAAATATCACTGTTAAGTTTTTTTAAAAAAGTGGTAGAATATATTTGTGTGTGTATTAATTTCCCATCGGGAAATCCTACATTCTACTTGGGAAAATGCTGTGATCAAAACAATAATGAACAAAGCTCTCTTCCTGCGGGACTTCTCAGAGCCTTTGCTGTGCTAACGTACACTGCGAGTTGCTAAAACCGGTATTGACAAGGCAGTGTGTCCAGAAATCACTCCTCACTCCTTTTTAAAGAAAAATTCGAGGAACTAATTTTCCGCAGATTCCACCTTGGAAATCACTCACTGGTTACTATGATATCCAATTACAAGAAATTTTTTTGTATATCTGATACAACAACTATTATAGTTGTTCTATAAACTCTTCCGGGACCCCACCTTTCAGGTAGTTTCACCAAAAGCGGCATTTGAGAGAAGAAACTAGCAATAAGCCCTTAAGGGGGCAGAGGATCAGGCTATTTCCACTAAAGCTTCGACAATACCCATTAGATGTCTGAGGTACATTTCATTCCATTCGAAATAGTGTTTGTCCTGCAAGTGGAAGGCTCCTGGAAAGGGAAGTTAAATCAAACCCCGGCACACCCCGAGTGCTCTAAAATTACTCATGAGAAACTTGATGTCAATTACCAGAGTAAAATAATAGGGCGTGTTTTTTTTTCTCTCTCTCTCTCTTCATTTAAAATACCGCTTCTCAGCCAAGCCATCATGAGTGCCGTCAGGGGCCGGATGTGCTACTTCCAGCAGGGCCGGACAGGTTGCTGGGGCTCAGCCGGTGGGTGGATTTATGGCTTCGCTGGCATTCTGGGCGACACGGGCAGTCTCGTGAGGAGCCCGGGAGGAGAGTGTGGGTGCTGGGCCTCCCTTTTTCTTTCCCAGCCCCAAGGTGGTTGTCTGCACCCAGAAGGTTTCTGTGCCTCCTGGATGGGCTTTCTGGGAGCATGCTGGCGCGCCCCCTCTCTGTGCGGCAGCCGATTGCTGCCTCTCCCTGTGTGGGTGCACGGAGAGCTCCCTCGGCTGCTGGGAGGCTGCCGTATGGATCTTTGGGGCACGCACTCCTTTTCTGCATTTTGGGATAAATGGGAAGGAAACAAATCCTTGCCAATGGCCTTGGGGGTTGTTCACAGCTCAATCTATGGCAAAAGGGAGCCCCTCCCTAAATCGCTGCATTGTAACATTTATAAACACCCCCTGAGTCACGGTGGTGTTAACCAGCAAGAAGCATTAGCTAAGAGGCCCAAGTTCTGGTCTTGACTGTTTTACTAACTAGACATCCCAGTGTCATTTCGCCTCCTGGGCTTCAGCATTCTCAACTAAATACTATTTATTTTATTATTTTGTAATCTTTGTTGTTGAAAGTATTACATACGACCGACCCCCTTTTCCCCCAATGACCTACAACCCGCCCCCACCCCCACCCCAGGCCTTCACCATCCATTGTCTGTGTCCATGGGTTACCCATATATATGCATACAAGTTCTTGGGTTGATTTCTTCCCACGCACCCACCCACCCACCCTCGTCTTCCCTCTGAGGTTCCGCAGTCTGTTCCCTGCTTCTATGTCTCTGGATCTATTTTCTCTGTCAGTTTATTTTGTTCATTAGATTCCACATATGAGTGAGATCACGTGACACTTGTCTTTCTCTGACTGGCTTATTTTGCTTAGCATCATACCCTCCAGGTCCCTCCAGGCTGTTGCAAATGGTAAGAGTCCTTTCCTTTTTTTTTTTTTTTTTTTAATATATTTTATTGATTCTTTACAGAGAGGAAGGGAGAGGGATAGAGAGCTGGAAACACCGATGAGAGAGAAACATTGATCAGCTGCCTCCTGTACCCCCCCCCCACTGGGGGTGTGCCCGCAACCAAGGTATGCCCTCCACCGGAATCGAACCTGGGACCCCCAAGTCCTCAGGCTGACGCTCTATTCACTGAGCCAAACCAGTCAGGGCAACAGTCCTTTCTTTTTTACAGCTGCGCAGTATTCCACTGTGTAAAGGTACCACGGCTCTTTTATTCACTCATCTGCGGAGGGGCACTTGGGCTGTCAACTAAACACTATTGACAGGTACACAGTGCCTCGAGCACTGAGCACTTTTGCTCGTATTCGGAAGTGTGACGCTTACAAAAGCCTTGTGCTTTGAGGATTGTCACCTCCTTCACACACAATGGAGACCCGGGACTCAGAGAGTTGGAGTGATGGGCCCAAGGTCACGCAGTGAGTGACAGACAGACACAGAGAGGAAGAACCCAAGGCTCAGTGCCCTTCCTCCTGGTCTTACTGAGGAGGTTGAGCTTGACTGTCAGCAGGTCCTTTCAGCTTTTAGCATCATCTTCCTGGGGGATTTGGTGCCTGCTTGGAGGCACTCTCCTACACATGGCAGTCGAGGAATCTAGAATTCTCCAAGGCCATTGGAGGTCATCTCGGCCTTTTATCCAAATAATAAAGGGATAAATTCCCTCTTTCAATGCACCGCTGAGTTACTAGGTCTCGTTATTTTGTTTGTGGTTTTTTTCTTTAAAAAACAACAACTGGGTGCTGGAAGGTAGGATCCAGTATTCATGTTCACCACAGTCTGCTTTTTACATATGTTTTTACTGATTTTAGAGAGAGAGGAAAGGAGAGGGAGAGATAGAAACATGGATGAGAGAGAATCATTGATCGGCTGCCTCCTGTACACCCACTACTGGGGATAGAGCCCACAACTGGAGCATGAGCCCTGACTGGGAATCGAACCAGAGACCTCCAGGTGCACAGGATGACGCTCAATCCACTGAGCAACACCGGCCGGGCACTTGGTCTCGTTTTTAACCAGCCTCACTACTGAGGAGACATCTCTGCTGGAACCTTTCCTCTACTCTCTCCTGCTACCACTCAAGAAAAATTTATTTCTATCTTTTATTTTTTTTAAATTCATCGGAGAATTAATTACAGTTCATTAGCTCAGCAAATGTTACCTGTTTTTCATCAAGAACTGGGATGCATACAGTTCAGCAGCTAGTATTGATTCTTCACCTTTGATAAGACTTACTTTTCTCTTACTCTTCTCATGTGTGGTTTCTATCAGAATCCCCCATCCCCTCCCTCCTTTTTAAGGTTCAGATGTCTCCAGGTCAAACATTGCCATGGTTACAACATCGACATCGTAGAATTTGCTTAGCTGCGTCAGATCCCTCTCGGTCTCTATCTTCATAATTTCCAACTCTCTCGCCAGTTCTCTGGGTTGTCCATCAACTTTTAATCTTCCACTTTGCCTCTACACTTTCCCCTCCTGTCTCGGTGTCAGTTCTCAAGCCTACGTGCTGAGTAGAAAGTGAAAAGTTGAACGTCTGAAATCTGATACCCAAAGAACCTGTCTGATCCTGTTCTGGGTAGAGCAGGGGCTGAAATACCTGCCCCCAGAGTAACACCCACAGGACAGGAAAAGGGAAGAGGGGGAGATGGGCACCCTTTTTTCCATCTGACAAATGCCTGTCAACACCTAGAAGGGCACTGTAGGGTCAAGAGGTCAAGGCAGTTACAGGTTGTTATTTCCCTTAGCAGAGCTGGGGACGGGCACTCATCCTCCGTGGAAAAGGAAGGCCACGATGGCGTGAACCCAACAGAACCTTACATTCTGGGGAAGAGAGGACGAACCCAAGTTTCAGTGACACGGATTTTGGTCCTGGCCATACTCTCTCAGTGGGTCTGTGACCACAGAAAAGTCACTTACCCTTGGTCTTCATTGTATCACTTGAAATCTACAGGCAATAATGGCCCCACAATAGACCTCACAGACTATGAAGGGAAACAGTTAGAGATGGAAAGGTGCATTGAAATACTGCATACCTCGTGTAAACACATGGGGCGGGATTTGTCTTGCAAGCATCACTGTTGTTGGTGGAGTCCTTGGAAGGGAAGCATCAAACATGGGCTTTCCCCATGGGCTGTATTCTTTTGTGGTTGATTGAAACAGGCCAACCGATTTTATTTGTGCCAGTTGTGTGTCATCTGTTGATAGATGTGAGAATGACCTGTCACCCACTGAGCACAGGGTTTATTTGAATGATGAATGATCTGGAGAGCTAAGTCAGCTTCGTTTTTTAAAAAAATTATTTTTATTTATTTTCAAGAGAAAGGGAGAAGGAGAGAGAGAGAGACATCAATGATGAGAATCATTGATCGGCTGCCTCCTGCACACCCCGCACTGGGGATCAACACTGCAACCCAGGCACGTACCCTAACTGGGAATCAAACCGTGACCTCCTGGTTTATAGGTTGACACTCAACCACTGAGCAACACTGGCCGCCCTCCCCCGCCCCCCGTTTTTTAAATTGCACCTCCCTCCCCAGTCTGTGAGCTCATTTGAGAAGAGCATTCTTCCACCACGGAGAAGGCCGGTTTTTCCATTAGGTTATGTGGGTAGCTGACCTCCCCTGTTCAAACCCTCACCTGTTGCTTGCTGTCATTTCGCAGCAATGTAATGCTTAGCACACAATCGGGGAAGCTTCCGGGGCTCCTTTCGTTATTAACTTGACTTAGATTTCATGTTATCCTGAGGAGGAGCTCAAGGCAAGCTTTGTTCATAGAAAAAAGACTCTGTAAAATCACCTCTCAATTATCAGTTTGCAGTGAGATAAACTGAAGAAAGATTAGGTCACCAGCATCATCTAATTGTACCTGTCATTACTCATCCCTGATGGGTAAGTTTCATCCACTCATCATATACTCTTATTATATAATAAAGTCTCTGGAATCAAATACATTTTAGGACAGTAAATGTCCTAAAATGTTTTCAAAAGAACACAATCTAAGCCAGGTGAATAGGAGAAATGTGTCTTCCTCATCCAAGACCAACGGAGACCTCTGCAAGAAAAAATTTAACCAATGATAGCGGCTTTGGTTGAGGAGGTCTTGCTTCTTAGATGCCTTGTAAATCTATCTGCTGCAGCTTTCTATTAAAGAAGGCGTAATGTAGCCCAGCCAGCATGGCTCAGTGGTTGGATGTTGACCTATGAACCAGGAGGTCATGGTTCAATTTCCGGTCAGGGCACATGCCCGGGTTGCGGGCTCGATCCCTAGTGTGGGACGTGCAGGAAGCAGATGATCAATGATTCTCTCTCATCATTAATGTTTCTCTCTCTCTTCCTCCCTCCCTCCCTCCCTCTCTGAAATCCATAAAATATTTTTTATTTTTTTAAAAAAATTCATTAGGAGAATTGAGAGAGGTTGAATCATAAAAGTGAACACAATGTGAACTGATCATTGCGGTTGCTCCCGTCTTCCTACCGCCGAGTGTGATATACCTCAGAGTCCAAATAAAAAAGACATCCTCCCCTACTCTCTCCCTGATATATCCTCCCGTCGGAAGACCTTACAAGCCTAGGAGGCTTTTGCTAAAAAT